ATATCATCTTATATCTTGACACCAACCTTGTCAGATAGGTGGACATTAATTTTGTTTTACAGATGAGAAAACTGAGGCACAAACCAATTAAGTAGTTTGCCTAAAGTTACGTATCTACTAACAGGTGAGCTAGAATTAAAATCTAGGCTTGTCTGGCTCCCAAGTCCCTATGTTTTATATCAGGTGTAGGCTGCCCAGTTCACATTTACTTATGACAATGAAGTTGCACTAATGACTTTTATTATTAAACTAACTTATAGGATTTAAGTTCTACCACAGTTCTATAAGATGCACTGCTGAATCTACAATGCAGAGGCGTAGGGCTAGGGAGCACAATGCAGAGGCGTAGGGCTAGGATGATTCTACAATAATGGTGAAAATACAACAAATCTGCATGGCTAACAGGCCAAGTTGATTTTACCACTGTACTGAATCACTGAAAAGGAAGAAAGAGAGAGAAAGGGAAGGGAAGGGAAGGAAAATAACAAACCGCAAAAATACCTGTAGTTCCTAGCACAGAATGTATTCTGACTGAAGAATTGTAAAAGGGTCCATGAAGGAGATGTCAGGATTACAAAAATTATGAAGTGTCATTTCTCAAATTTGAGAGAGAGAGAGAGAGAGAGAGAGAGAGAGAGAAGACTGTGAATAATAGCTCAGTTTTTTTAAAAAATCAAGTAATGCTGATAATTCATAACTTGCTGATTAATATTAGGACCAAAATTTATAGCCCAATTTAAAATAGTCTTACACTTTTAGTGCTTTTTCTTGTTGAATGCTATGCATAATTGTAACATTATACTATAGTCTGAGTTTTTTAAAACCTAAATCTCTGAAAATTTGATTTTTCACAGCCAGCTAGTTGAGTACCATGGATGTAGCGCTTGATACAAACTACTGCTAAAGTAATAGAAATCTGGATCGTGTGAAGGTAAGTTGTTTCAAATGCTGCCCTGCATATGACCAAACAGCATTCCGATCCTGTGAAGTGATAAACTCACATGAGAGGCATCTTGTGCTCTCTACAGAGCTTAATAGCTCCATTTGCAACTGGATTGTAGAGAACATAGAAGTGATAGGGTGGGCTGAAAGCGGCATAATGAATCAGAGCATTCAGAGGCAGCACGAGGAAGGCACTGTGAGCAATAATCCAAAGGCTGCAAACTTCCATGAGGAAACTCAGTAGCAGGAACCCTTGGCAATGACTGTCAGCAGCCAGCCACAAATGCTGAGAGCCGACCACGCGGAACCTACAAACCCTTGTTCCTTTTGTGTTTGACCGTCTATTCTGTGCCAGCCATTGTTCTTGGTACTGGAGACATAGTGAACAAGACAAGGTCCCCGCCCTCATGGAACTTACACTGAGGTGCAGAAGACAGATAATTGACAAGTAAACAAGTTATTATAATAAAATAGAGCTAGCTGCATCAATGTTTCCCCTATGCACATTCAAGTAGAAACATCCTATATACTTGATCATGCCTTAATACAAGTGTATGAAACATATAACTAGATAAAACTATTTTTCTCCAGACTAGAACCCAACTCAGTCTGGCCCACACTTACGGTCAGAGTAAAGTCATAACAGTCAGGGAGTTCCTGATGACGCACTGTCTGCAGATTAATGGCCTTCAGTTTAAATTGAAGCTCCACTGTTAGGAGTCTAGAAAACAGAGAAGATTTTAGTTCAGGGGAAACATATACACAAACATAAGTTATGGTCTCATCAACTTCCCTCACCTATGGAAGTCCAGCGTTAGGTTGAGATTATTTTCTTCTAGGGTTCCAATATGAAAAGGTTCATCTGGCTCTACAAGGAAACATTCTGCAATAGAAAAGAACAAAAATATGATATAGTACCTAAAATAAATAAATGAAACTGTGTTTTGAAAGGCTAATCCATTTAAGACCAGTTATTCACATTCTATTATTTTTCTGAATTAAGATTTTAAAAGCTAGACATCAATACCACTTGGTTTCAATGACATTTGTTTTTAAGACTTAAGTGGCTACATTTCTGGAGTGGACGGAGGGTTAGATAGAGAGAAATCTGAACTTATGTCATTAGTGTTCTATAGAATGCTATAGAATTCTTCCTGTCTTTTAAAGCCTAGATAAACTTTGAGTCCCACCCCCTCCTTTTTTTGTATCCTAAGCATAGGATCTGAAGCACTTGCAGTGCCTAAAATAAGACTGTCTAAGTTTACAGGATCTCTTTTTTTAATGTTACGTATTGACAATTTTTCCTCAATCAGCACTTTAAAAAAAAATTTTTTTTTCACAAGTTGGTACTGTTATCCTTTACTATCTGTTTTAAAAAATCCTAGTGGCTATTATTAAGAGTATGTAACTATTTATTTTTCAACATATTTTAGATACAAATTGCAAACAGAACTTTGCTAATAAAAATAAGCTGTGCTATACCAAATTCTGGTTCTCATTCTTCCCTGTCTCAACCTATCCCCAAAGATGCTGAATAGTGAAGTGCTATGGGAAGGGGGGTTAAATACATCAACAGTTTTAAGCATAATACTTGATAGAGTTCGGATGTATTGTCCTCCCAGAACTCGTGGAAATCTGATCTCCAACGTGGCAGTGTTGGGAGCTGTTTCAGTCATGGCGGCAGATCCCTCATGAATGGATTA